TTAAGGAGTTAACTTAATTTATATCTACTCATATTCATGTAATTAAGCGTTTTAATGATTTGGCCGATTAATCGAAAAAATAATCAACAGGTTAATCGATTATTAAAATAATCGTTAGTTGCAGCCCTAGACGTGTTGCCTCCATGGTCCACATTGGTGTCGTCTTTACAGCATCCTAAATATTTTCATATAGCTGGATTTATTATTTTAGACAGGGAAAAGTTTTGGGAGTTTTCTTCTTCAGCCACCACACAAACCCCTGCAGAGCTGCGAGTGCCGACAGGCAGCTCTGCGGGAGTGCGCGGGGGAAAGTCTGCAGCGGAACAGACCCAAGGGGGGAAAAAAACACTTATACCGTAGGCACGCATGACTGAAAATTWTTGTGGTTTTCAAACCGTGACTTTTTCATATCAGGGTAYACCTTAAAACMGGTATTCGGCCCATGCCTAGTTGTCAGTTTATTCTGAATGTTGGCAGCAGCTGTAATTTTCAGCTGACTTTATGAACTCTTTAATTATTTTTATCAACATTGTTTAGTCCTTAATTATMCCAGAGAGCTTGTAGATGTCCATCAGAAACTGTGTGCTTAATGAGACTTCACTGTGTCTTTATAGAATAAAGAAATGTTTACATTTGTTAGACTGATGGAAGTGACTCAGTCCTGCTGTAAAATGATGAGGTACCTACAAGAGACTGTGTTTGTTTGTTCTCCCAGGAGCTGCAGGTTGGCTCCTCTGATCCAGTGTGATTATTGTCCACTTCTGTTTCACATGGACTGTCTGGACCCCCCACTCACAGCCTTCCCCGCTGGAAAATGGATGTGTCCGAACCACGTGGAGCACCTGGTGGTAGGAGGCGTCCTCTGAGCGCTCAGTGTTTCTCTGACTGCCGCAGGGTTTTCTGCTCACATGTTGATTTCCTGTCCAGCTGAACCAGAGGAGCCTGAGCTTGTCCAGCCGCTGTCAGCTCTTCGACCAGTTCCAGGACAGGATCTCTCAGCACGCTGTCAAGGTGGACTTCCTCCGCCGGGTCCACCGACGGAACGCTCCCAATCGGCGCTTTTCTCATCAACATTACAAGAAGACCATGAAGGTATGTGCAGGCAGCGGCGTGTGTGGAGCAGTGTTCTTGTTTGTTTACGTTGACATCTTTAAATCAAAGTTTCTGAGCACCAATCATCTGTGGATCCTTTTCTTAGTCCACATGCTGATCAACGATTTTACTGTTCCACTTAACATTCAGCGTGTCGTTTTGTATTCGTTTTATTTTGTAGTATCRTATCTGTTTCCTGTTCAGCCTGTGTCTGTGTGCAATGCATCAAACTTGACGTCTAGGCCCTCCTCTTTCGATGACACCTCATTTGACCAACTGGGTTCAAGTTTCGGCTGTCTAGGGCCAGTAATATGTCAGTAGTGACCAACTTCCAGTTTTCGTCTTTCTAGCTTTGATTGACTGTAAAATCGGCCAGTCAGCTCCGAGCTTCGTTCTGATGCCACAGCTGTGTAGCCAATCACCGTACCTTTCATTTAATATACATACAGTGGTTTGCAAAAGTATTCATACCCCTTGAACTTTTCCATATTTTGTCACATTACAAC